GAATCAATGCTCTCGACAGTGAAGGGTTCGGTGACATCGGGAGGGGAGATGCAGGCGAGAAAGAAAGGAGCCCCCCAGCCGCCGTCTCTAAGGGGAGCGCGCACCGGCACACAATCGCAAGGCTCCCTTTCCCATGGGACCTCGTTATTATGCTTCGTGTTTTGATTTATTCCACATGCCCTCTGCTCTTCCAAGGGGCGGGGGGGTGAGGGTTCTGTTCTCTCTGTTTGCTTTCTTTGCCGAGTAAGTTCCGCTCACCCACAGCAAAAGACTGTGTGAGAGAAGCACAAGAGCAAAAGTGGGCATACATATATATATATATATATATATACATGGAAAATGTAGATTCTTTCTCTGACAAGCAAATGCGATGGAAAAGAAAGCACAAAAAAATCAAAGCAAGCAGAAAGGAAGCAAGCTCAAGTGACCTAAAATGCACGTGCAACGCTTTTAAAGGACAAAATGTTTAAGAAAACATAGGTTGGGTTTTCAAACGGATGTCTGTCATTAGAGACCTAAAGCCGTGCTTAAAAGTGGTGCAGAGCTGCGTTAAGCACATGTTTGGCCACTCTCCTGAATTGCCACAGACCACAGCATGATCTAAACCACCGTACTCACGTGGCTCTGGGAGCAACAAAACCAGGACATGTCAACATGCCACCGCACAAGGGGACTTTGGGTGTCCCCATCCCGCTCTGAGCAGCCCCGTGCCACGGAGCCACAGACCTGGCAACACCACGTAGGGGTATTACTCTCCTACCAAACCCCAGGATGACTGACATATTTAAGGCTGTATTGTACTGAGGCTAATTAACCTTGCCTATCACTTTGCTTGTCTCAGTGGCCTCACAGCACGCCACGCTGCCCCACAGGCACCCCTTCTGTGTGCAGGAAGACGGAGCAACCATCATGGCCTTTGCGGTCCGGCGGGCTCCAGTGGTCTGGCTGCCACAGCCCATTCTGCAGGCTACAAAGATGCCTGGTAGATTCAGCAGTTGCTGGGGATGTTAAAACCTACACGCTACATGTTCCATATAACAGATTCAATCAGGAGAGTGGGATGAGGGAAGCAGTTCAACGATTTGTAGCTGCAATTCAGCCTCTTCTGGTTAAAATTATTACACCCACAATTTTGCTGTGCATTTTTATTTCTATAGATGCCTACTGAAAAGCACAAAACCCCTCAGATTCAACCTTTAAAGAAAGTTCCCTTCTTTTACAAGAACTAAATGCACAAATCCTATTATCTCGCCACGGTCACCATAGTTGCTACTTTGCTTTGGGCATTACTGCTCAGATATATGCTTCAACCCAGCTGACAAGAGGTCTTGGACTTATCCTAAGGTTTCATATCACAGCATCAAAACTTGATGTCAAACATGTGCCTAACAAGCCTTCTTGGAGTCCAGGAAGAGTCTGCAGTTGAAGCTCCCACCTCAGCAGACCTTTTTATAAGCAGGATGAAGTTAATATGATTCTGTGATTCTGTGAATTTGTAGAGGAGATGAAGTTACTCTCAGGAATCAGTGTGAGGCAATGGGCTGGGTTCCTGAAGGTAATCAAATCAGCAGCCTCAGCAGAGACCTCAACACAGGTGCAAGGTGTATTTCTCCAGTCTCCTGCTCCAATGCCTACAGAGCAGTCCAGACATACTGAAATGCCTGCGCAGCAAGACCATGGACTGCAAATGCATCCCCTCAAGGAAGCAGTTGAAAGGTGAAACTGAAGATGTGTTTGCCATGTTCTTTTAACCAAAAGTTGTTCAAATCCTGCAGTTAGGAAAGGAAAGACAACTTCTTTACATAATAATAATATGTATTATTGATCTGGGATAATGATTATGCAAATAAAATGTTCTACAAAGAGTGGGCTTTTTTCCCCATTAAACATCAGTAAGATTGAAAATCCACAGCAAACACATCCTACTTGCTGGAAGTCACACAAATTTTAGTCATTGGTCAAACAATGGCTCTGACATTAAAATTCCCTTCAGAAGACTGAACTTCTCATTGTTCAGTCTGTACTTCTGCTGTCATAGTCTAGATCTGCATTTCTTAACGACCTGTGCTTACTTTGGAAGTTCTGTAGGTTTAAAAGGCTGAAACTTTTCTTCTGACTACCCCAAGTTACAAAAGGCCTGTTCAAAAACTAATTTGGGTGGTGTAATATTAATGTACTTACCAGTTTAAATACAGAAAATACAAATGTCATCTGGAATTTCCTTTCTTTAAACAGAAAATACATTTGACAGAACCTGTGGTTACAGACTGTCCCCAGAGGAAACCCACTCCAGCAAAGCCCTCCACTCTGTACTAGTGAGACCCACTCCTTCAAACAGCTGTATGCTCTCCTGCTGGCAAGCAGATTTTGCTAGGCAGGCTCAGGACTTCAGATCAGATGTTTTACAAACACAAAAGTAACAGGCTGGGAGATTATTTCCCCTACTTTCTCCCAGGATAACCCATCCCTCAAATGAGCAATGAAGATGTCAGTGCATAAGACCAGAATTAACTTCGTACGGGCTTGCACTGAAGACTTCAGAAGCTATAAATCCCAACTATGCAAAAGCATTAATTCTACCTACAAAATCATCCTCTAAAAGCTTCAAGTGACACAGGAACGTACTTTCCAGTCTGCTGTAATATACGATGGGTTTTAAGCACTTATAATCTTAAGTGATTTCTCAATCTTCAAACCTCTGTCCCATCACCGATAAACACAGCAGACAAAACGACCTATACGGTATTTCCTCCCCTGCTAACATGGGTGCTGATCTTGCACTTCAAGCATTAATCTCAGCCAGCAAGTTGTCTCACCCAATGCTCCCTCCCTTAATCAGATATATCTTTCTCATAATATACAATGAGACTAGGGGACATCAAGTCTATGCCTGTGACAACTCGGCAAAAGACAAAGCCACAAAGGCAGAAATTAAAAAAAAAAATTCTTTAAAGATTGATATCCAGCAAAAAACTGCTGTACAGACCAGGCTGATTTAGATAATTTGGCATCCAGGGAAGGCAGTCAGTTACATTTCAGAACTTCAGCCCAGCATTTTATTTGCAAAACAAAATAAAAATGAAAATGAGGAGAGGGGCTGAGCAGTAAGGCTTTCTGTTGCTAAATCACAGCTGTAAGCCTATAGCCAAACCTCAGGAAGAACAGCAGTACAGCAAAGTACATGAAGGCACTGCACACCAAGCGACATTCACTGCAAAACAGTTTTTCAGAAAAAGAGGTTTTAATCTATTTTATCTAGCTTTTAAAAAAAAACATTAAATCATTTTGCTCAGTCAAGTAAAACACTGCAATTGCACAAATTTAAAAAAGGTATTAAAAACTCAGTTCTGTTCATGTGTCAATTTCTTTTGAACATCTATCTTTAATATCACTGAATCTAGTTTGCATCCCTGAAGCCTGAGGAGCTCCAACATAAGCTACAGAAAATTCTTCACAAGCTTTCAGGAGATGAACACACACTTGCCATTTCTACACAGGCTCCACAGAGCTGTAATAAAGAGTGTTCACACATACTCCAAGAGCAATTTGAGATTATCCTATGAGATCCAAGACTCAGAAGTTAAAATGCAGAGACTGTCCCTCAAGCAACATTGACATGTATTCCAAACAACTAATTTTAAAGACAACTTGTAGAATACATTGGGGGTTGGTTTTGGGGGGGGGGGTTTGTTGTTGTTGGTTGGTTGGTTTTTTTGTTTTTAATATGCAAAAATATTCAAGATAAAGAGCAAATATACATGCAGCCACTTGGTGTGTCTCTCAACATAATTGCTTACATTGAGATCAACTTTAGACCATTTACCAAAGAGCTGAGTACAAAACCCACTCTGATTGTTTATGCAAAAAGAGGGAAATTTTCCATGTGGATAAAGTCGAAGCATAACAACAGGCTTTGAGTTGTGCAGCAGTCATATACCTGGCAAATACTTAAAAAAAATAAAATAAAATCTGAGGCCCATTCCTTCAGATGTACTAAATTACTAGGAAAAAGAAATGAATGAACAAGTAACAGTAAAAAAACCTGCACTTTTACCACAGTATGAAATATAGACTACTAAAAAACATGAGTCTGCACTGCACTTAGGGATCTCAATCTTGGATTTCTGTAGAAAGGGCAAAACTAAAGGCTTAAGCGTGGTTACTGATTATTTTTGCAACAAAAGAAAATCACTGAGTTAACTGCTGCAGGTAAGTCCAGGAGGGTGAGCAGACCTTAATAGTGTGAAGGTGCCAGTGCTGTGACCCCCTTAATAAAGCCACATGCAGATGGCAATAACTGCTGTCAAGCTAAATGCCTGGCAGCAAGCAGGCAGGCAGGCAGGCAAGTTGATGCCATTCAGTTGTTGGGTTTCATACACTTCTCTGGCTGGCCAGCTAGCTTCCAGCCAGACCACTGCTTTAGACCAGTGCAGTCACAGCCACTGGTGAGAACCAAAGGCAATAAACAGCCTAAGTCCAGAACATACATGGGTCACTAACCTTTATTTTCAACATAAAGTGGGTAAAAAACCAAATCCCTTAAAGAGTAAATAGGTGGTTCTGTATGGCTTTTCCAGTAGCTAAGTCTGATCAAGTCCCAGTCTCAAAGACGATTC